ACAGAAATTAAAGCCCAAGGGATCAACTAATTTTGGGTGCCCAAACTAAGAAACCTAGGACCTAATTTTTATAGCACTTTATATGGTCGGAACAGAACTCCCACTGATCTCAGTTGTAGTTCTGAGTGCTTGATACTTCTTCAAATCCAACTCTTGATGTCGGAAGTTGGGTATCCAGAAAATGAGCAACAAATTAGTGCCCACCTGTGAAAAGTTTGGTTTAAGTGTCTTGCCCGGCATGATGTAGGAACTATGTGACAGACATAGGGGGTTCACAGGACCCTCCTTTCTCTTCCTGCAGCCCTCTGCCACATTCACTACACACCTTACATTTCTGCAACAAATGGGGGATGAGGTGTCATTCATTATGCAACCCTGATTCATTCCCAGAGCATAGTCTATCCCATGCACTGAATGAGATGGGGTCCTGTAGAAAAATTAGTATATGTTCTTATGATAGACTGTATCATAATGTATACACACAAGAGTAGAGCCCTACAACAGGACCCAACAAGTGTCAGGTCTGGGTCTAGCTGGGTAAGGAAAAAACAGACCCTCTTGGACTCAGGCCAGGTTGGCTCTCCTCCTCCTGCCAGTGGGGCTGGTACATCGGCAGCTGCATGCCTTGCTCTTGCTGCCACATCACTGCACAGCGTGTGCTGCAGAATGAGTATGCCGAGGAGTTGAAACCCCTCATGTTCTGCCGCACAGCAAGGAGTGGTGGACAGCAGGAGCAGGGCACACCGCTGTGCTGACCCACAGGCAGAAGTGGGCAGTGGTGGCAGCGCTGACTTGGGTTTGGAGGGGAAGGGTTGGTTGGGGTCAGGTCAGAAAACTATTTGACTTTCTTGGGTTCAGGTTGGCTGTGCTTGGGTCCAATTTTTAGGCCTGAGCAGAAGTCTACACAAAGAGGGCTGAATCAGAGAGAGGAAAGATGGTCAACAGGTACTAGCCTCAGACCAAACAAGCATGATGGGTTGCATAGACAACCTTAATTCTAGCATTACCTAATTTCTGAGCGCTTGACTTTGCTATCTTAATGTTCTTTTAATGTAGTGTTATTAATAAGCCATAGAAGATAGGTATGAAGAAGCTCATTCAGAACCCATACAAATTCAACAATGAAGCCAGGTTTTCTTTTCCATATGAGACAATTACAAATTCTCATGTCTAAAGAAGATTGCTTCTGTTGTGGAGGTTGGGTACTGGCCACTTCTTTATGGTCTATGACAGCGGTTCTCAACTGGGGTCCGTGGCCCCCTGGGGGTCCATGAGCCCTTTCAGAAGGGAAGCGGGGCCCCACCACTGAAGCAGGGGGCACCCCCTGCAGGGTTGAAGCCGGGAGCGGCACAGGGCTGAAACCCCGAGCTCTCCTCTCCCCCCACTTGAAGTCGGAGCAGCAGGGAGCTGAAACCTCAAGCTCCGCCTCCTCCCCCGCTGAGGCCGGGAGTAGTGGGGCTGAAGTCCTGATGCAGGCAGAAGCACTGAGCCCATGGGCAGAGTTGAGGGGGCACAAGTGTGTTGCCCTCCCCCCCAAAACTGTAGTGCCTTACCCAGAGTGGGGCAGGTTCTCCCCCCCCACCTCCTCCTCTCTGTCAGCTCCCCTCAGGCCCCACCCACCTTCTGGCCAGATCCTAGGCGGGAAGCCCGAACCAGGCAGTGCGGGGCAGCTGCTCCTCTGGCTGGTGGTGCCATGAAGTGGGCAGCTGTGGCATTCCCCTGTCTGCTGCTGGTGCCCAGGGTTGCGGCTCCTTCTCAGCTCCCAGCCCACTTTGACTGCTCACGCAGCTGGTCAGCTGCCCAGCAGCTCCGGGGCAGGCAGAGCCCTCGGGGAGCAGCAACCGGCACACAGCCCCAGACAGGTGGGTGGCCTGCTGAGGTGAGTCAGGGTGTGGAGGTGGCACTCCCTTCATGGACCTCACTGTGCGGAGCTGGCCCAAGTCCTGCCGGTCCCTGCCTCCCCAAAATAGAAGTCAAACAACGCCTATGCCCAAGGGTCCCACCTCTGGCCCAGAGCTCTGAGTCCCCCCTTGCCCCCTGGAGTGTTTATAGCATGTTGGGGGGGGGGGAATCTCAGAAAGAAAAAGGTTGAGAACGCCTGGTCTATGACATTTTTCAGAACATGAAAACCACAAAAATAAAAAAAGCTGGATGGTTTTTCTGCTTCTTTAACCTATTTAAGGGGATACCAGCAATGTAGACTAGAGAAAAAAAAAAAAAAAAAAAAAGAGTTAAATTAGTTTCAGGTACTAGCTGTTCCCCTGTATTCTTCTGACAAGTTTTTAGGGACTTACAATCACATTCTCCTTTTTTTCTTTGTTCTTTTCCTGTCCCTGCATGAAAGACCCATAGAAGCAATAGGGGAAACAAGACCAATCCCCAATCCTGAAATGTGAGCCACATAGGCAGATTCCTGAGCATGTTTGGAGCCCCAAAGAAGTCAATGGTCTCTGTTTCAGAGTAGCAGCCGTGTTAGTCAGTATCCGCAAAAAGAACAGGAGTACTTGTGGCACCTTAGAGACTAACAAATTTATTTGAGCATAAGCTTTTGTGGCCTGTAGCCCACAAAAGCTTATGCTCAAATAAATTTGTTAGTCTCTAAGGTGCCATAAGTACTCCTGTTCTTTTTAATGGTCTCTGTGTGCACACAACTTGTTGGACGGCAGGATCAGGGCCTAATTGACTGCACAGGAATAACAGTGACACTGACTATACACAAAGCACATTAAAATGTACAAGACAAAGGCTGAAACACAGAGACATTTCCCCCTCTAGTCTTTAAAAGCAGCTGAGATCAAGGGATGCAAAGCACTGAAGCAGTGCCTAGTATTATCATCATTCTTAGATTAGAATCAAAATGGAGTTGACAAATTTAAGATTTGGTCTGAAATCAACAAGATGAAGTAGTCAAGACAGGTGTGAAGTACTACACTTAGAAAGAAAAAAATCAAATGCACAACTACAAAATTGCAATAGGTGGTGGTTCTGCTGTAAAGGACCTGGGAGTTATGGTAGATCACCAATTGAGCGAGAGTCAACAATGTCATACAGTTGCAAAAAATGCTAATATTCTGGGGTGCATTATAATAGGAGTGTTGTATGGAAGGGTAGGTCTACACTATCGCTTAAGTCAATTTAACATGTGTCGCTCAGGGGTGTGAAAAAGACACCCCACGTAATACAAGTTACAACAACCTAAGCGCTGTTCATACCAGTGCTATGTTGGCAGGAGGCGCTCTCCCACCGACATAGTTTTCACCTCTCGCAGAGGTGGAGTAATTATGCTGATGGGAGAGCGCTCTCCTGTCAGCATAGAGCGTCTTCACGAGACATGCTACAGTGCTGTAGCTGCACCCATGTAGCGCTTCTAGTGTATACCTTCCCTGAGAGAAGGAAGTTCATTGTGGAGCTCTACTTGGCACTGGTGAGGCCTCAGCTGGAGTAGTGTGTCCAGTTCTGGACTCCACACTTCAGGAAAGATGTAGACAAACCAGAGAGAATCCAGAGGAAAGCAATAAAAATGATAAAAGATATAGAAAACCTGACCTGTGAGGAAATGTTGCAGAAAACCTTATGTTTAAGTCCTAAGAAAAGAAGCCTGAGAAAGAACCTGCAAAGTTTCCAAATACGTCAAGGGCTGTTCTACAGAGGACTGAGAACACGCAAGGCAGAGCAAAAAGTAATGGGCGTAATCTGCAGCAAGGAAGATTTAGAATAAATGGTAGGAAAAACTTTCTAATGATAAGGGTAGTTAAACTCTGCAACAGGCTTCCAAGGGAGGTTGTGGAATCCACATCGTTGTCTAACATTTTCCTATAAACCTCCCAACACCTGTCAGGGAAGGTCTAGGGTATACTTGGCGCTGCCTCAGCACAGGGAGCCGGACTAGGTGATCGCTGGAGGTCCCTTCCAGAGCTCTATTTCTAGGTCTCTGTGGCTGCTCTCACCAACTCCAGCCCCCCAGGCCGGAGGCGGCTCGCACAGAGGTGGACGTTTAATTGCGGGACTGTGGCCCTTGGGGCCTCCGGGCTGGCTGAGGCCTCGGCCTCACCAGGGGCATCTGCCAGCCTCTTGGCTTTGCCCGAGGAGATGGGGCGGGGCTCTAGTCTCTACGCCGGGGGTCGAGGCAGCCCCAGCCCCACTTTAAGACGGGCCCAGCCTCCCCCACCCGAGCGGGCGCAGCATGCGGCTCCCGTTCACCCCCGCGGCGGCTCTTACCCACAGCGCGTCCCGCAGCGCCCGCTCCCGGCTCTCGGCCCCGAGCTCGCCGGGCTGCCCGTCCGCCAGCGCCCGCACGTACGGGGCGCACAGCCCCAGCACCTCGCCCACCCAGCGCTTCGAGCAGCAGCGGACGCGCGTTTCCCGGAGGGCCGGGGAGGGCGGCCGCGGCTCCGGCCCCTTCGCCGCCGCCTCCATCGCTCTTGGCCGGGCCGGGCTTGCCGCCATTTCCCGCTTTCCAAACCGCCGGAAGCGGAACCCGCTCGAGCCCTTCGTTAACCGGCGTCTCAGGTCACCTGTCCGGGCGGAAACCGGGCACCACTCAGCCGTTCCGGCCTGGGGCGCTCGGGATGGGGGCCGTGGGGCCGGTGGATTGTCACTGCCACCTCGCGGCGCCGGACTTTGAGCGGGTGCGGAGCAGCCCGGGGCGGGGGCGGCCCTTGCTCACCCCCGCCTCAGCGGGACCCTGCGCCTTGGTCATCCCCCTCCCCATTCCACCAGCCCCCCCGTCCCGCCCCTCCGTGCCCCACCGGACCCTGCGCCTTGGTCATCCCGCCCCTCCATGCCCCGTCGGGACCCTGCCCCTTGGTCATCCCCCTCCACCAGCACCCCCGTCCCGCCCCTCCGTGCCTCACCGGACCCTGCGTTTTGATCACCCCACTCCAACAGCACCCCCATCCCGCCCCTACGTCATCCCCTCCGTGCCCCACTGGACCCTGCTCCTTGGTCACCCCACTCCACCAGAACCCCCCCGCCCCTACGTCATCCCCTCCGTGCCCCTGCGGACCCTGCGCCTTGGTCACCCCCCTCCCCATTCCACCAGCACCCCCCCACCCCATCGGGACCCTCTCTCCGCCTCTTGGTCACCTTCCCTTCGTGCCCTATTGGGTCCCTGCCCCATCAGCCCCCCTGTCCTGCCCCTGGGTCACCCTCTGCCCCACCGGGACCCCCTTCTGTCCCTTGATCTCCCCTCCCCGCCCCATCAGGTTCTACCCCCCGGCCCCCGATCTACACTCTAACCCTTGCTCCCCTCTCTTAACCCCCCCCCATCTGGATTTCACCCCCTCCTGCCCCTTGCTCACCCCTTCCACCTTGCTCCCCACCCCCAGTGCTTTACATCAGGGGCCCTTGCTTTGGGGTGTGAGGGGCTGCTCAGGGATTGCTGGGGCTGCTTTTCCCTCAAGTGGAAGGTTTGCATCTCACAGATGGGTGTTTTCCAGCCCTGTGGCATCACTCCATGACTTTTCCACTGTAGCCCTTCAGCTCTTGCTCTATTTGCAGATCCCTTAAAAGAGTAGACACTTGTCATTTTAAAAGTCTTGTTCCCCTCTCTGATTCAGGTTTCCAATAAAACATTATAATCTCTTTCAGGATATTGAGGATGTATTGGAAGAAGCAAAGAAGGTGGGTAACTATACTGGCATTTTTCCATAGTTGTAAAGTGTTTGCTAATTACTAAACATGGGACTTGCTCCTGTCAGCACTTACACACATGCTTAAGTTTAGGCATATGAGTGGCCTCATTCAGGTCAATGAGGCTACCCCCATTTCTAAAGTTATGCATGAGCTTGTGTTTGCCTTATACTGAAAAAACTTCAATTCTGCTAACATTGCACATTTCCTGTTAGCTGGGCACAAAGTTTTATACTTTAAAATACAGGATTGCAACACAAAATGTAGTTAAATGTGGAATTTATACGACGCCTAATGAAGTCTGAATATTCAGCACTTTCAAACGCTATACAAACATGAAGTAATCTTCACAATAGGAGTCCATGTCAGAGCTGAGATTAGAATTTGGAAGATCTTGATTTACAGATCTGTGCTTACATCACAGCTCTCAAGTCATCTGTGACAGTGACTGTGTTTATTTCATCTGACAAGGACAAGCTAGACAACAGCCTGGCTTAGGGACTGTTAGGAATAAAGTAAAAGCCTCCCCTGGCTGTGCTTTGTCCAGAAACTTTAGTGACTTGGGGACTGATCCTGCAAACTGCTCTGCACAGCCAGGCCACTGTACTCCCATAGAGCCCCACCGACTTCTCTACCATTCTTTGTGGGCCAACTCATGCCTGAATGGAGCCCTGTAATTGCATGTCTTCACCTCAAGGTTTCCCTCTCATGCCTGGATACTAATACTGGGGTCTTCATCTCTAGCACCTCCTGGTGATCACTTCCTTGGCCCCACCAGGGCCTGTCTGGCTGGGTCCTCTCCAGATCACTGAAAAATTCATTCCCTTTTTGGGGTAACAAGAGGTCCAACTAAGTCCAAATAAATATTTTCACTAATAATACTTTGCACCTCTTAGGCTACACTGAAGTTCTCTGCCTTTTTGCCCCTATTCCTGGGCCCTACAGAGTTTCTCCTATGATACATCTCCTCAGCAGGCTTCCACCACTGCCTTGCCTTGTTAGATACTCTGGCAGCACCAGCACATCTCAGGAATCTCCCTGCTTTTTACAGGCCCTATCCAAGAGCCTCTGCTCACCCCCACAGGAGCCTGACCTACTTCCCGTAGATCTTTTCCAGCTTGACTTCCCCAGAAAGGAAACCCCTCTTCCTCCTCGCCAGACTGAGTTCCCAGATCTAAGTAGTCCTCTCTCTGATTCCCCTCCTTCCTTGCAGCTCGGGTTAGTCATAATTAAGTCTCCATCACAGTCATCTTGAGGATAGTTGTTTGGTTAGAGGCAAGGCTGAGCCCAGCTTGCCTTAAAGGACCACCCAGTTTGTACCCAGCCCCAGTGAAGTTAACCGACTCTGGGCAGGTGCAGTGGTTTCTCCATGTGGAGCAGCTTGCAGGATCAAGGTCTAGTCTTTTGCAGACAAAGTAGTTGGGGTTATATTTTGAGAAAGACAAATCTGGTTGAATACATAATATTTTTCTGAAGCCATAAATTTGTATGTAGCATATGGTTCTTAAAGGGACTATTTATGGTTAAGATGCTTTTGCTACCATTGTATGGACAGGAAAATCAGCTGTCATTTCTGTTTCTTCATGGATCCTATGGAAAAATCCTTATTAGGAGGGCAGGGTTTCTAATTCACCTATTTTTTCTTATTTCATTGTCTTACTTATTAGTCAAAATTGAGTGTGTTTCATTTAATAATGGGGTTTTCTAATATAATTAATATAAATGTTGGTACAGGTTGCTTTAGTGCTAGTGTAGTAAACTGAAATCCTTTATCACAGAAGAGTTACGGTAGGAGCAGCAACCGTGCAAACTTCCCTGTAGTATGATGCTGGCATTTCTCATCCTGACTTTGGAGCTGCCAATTCTAGGAGCAATAGGGTACTTCAGTTTCTATGGCTATTCAGTCCTTGGTGCTGAGATTGCCACAAGGCTGTAAATAAGTAATAAATGTGTTGGTTTACTTGTCCATTTGGCTATTACCTAGACCACAATGAAAGCCATCAGATAGAATAAACTTTCACTTACTGCTGATCTAGCTCTTATTGACATTAACTGAAGTCTTTTCATCGACTTTACGGGCATGATTTTGCTTCCATCTAGTTGTATTTGAGACAGTGGTCTAGAGTTGAAATGTTCCATAGCCCATTACCAAAACCCGGAGATGTCACGTCCCCCCCTTTAACCTACATTAGATGTGCCAAAAAGCACAGGGCTCATTGATTGGTTTTGGACTCTTAAATACCTAACCTACCCTATCCTTTAAAAATGCCCTGTTGTCTTAAAAAAAATTCTGAATTCATGGACATTTTTGAAAACTATTCTGATTATTTTTTTCAGTACTTGTACCAGTAGGTGGCACAGGGCTGGTTGCTAGGAACACATGGAATTTAAACCTTCTCTCCCAAATCCCACCCCAGCACTAGGCTTTCCAGAGAAGTGTTCATTATACATGAAATATCCCCACCTAATTTTTATCAATTAAATGCAGACTATGAGAGAGCTTGGAAGTTCTGTCAAGCTAGGAAGTTAATCTAGGATTTCCATTTGTTCCTCTGTGCTACAGCAATTTTATTTCCTGTTGCTTCAGGCTAAAGTTTTGGCGCTAGTGGCAGTTGCTGAACACTCAGGAGAATTTGAAAAAATTATCCAGCTTTCGGAAAGGTATTGTTTATTCCAACGACTTAGTCTTCTTTGCATGTGATTAAAACAATAATTATTTTTAAATGACTGCAGAGCAGTTTGATAAGGTTGGTGCCATGGGATTCAAAACATCAAGGAAAGCATGTTCTATGGAAAAGGAGAAAAAGAAAACACAGGTTGCGACTGTACATGGGCAGTACCGAAAGGACAGAGCAGTGTTAATGGCTGTTCATGGGATGCAGCAAGGCCTTACTTAGACTGTAAATTCCTTGGGGCGGGTACTGTCTACTGGTTCTGTGTTTGAACTGTGCCTAGCACAATGGGGTCGTGGTCTGTGACTGGAGGTCCTAGGTACTACTGCAATACAAATAAATAATAATAATTAATAAATGAGACCTTGGTGAATCAATAATAATAATTTTTCACTTTTCCAGTGCCTTTCATCCAAAAATTCCTAAGGGTTTTGCAAATATGAATTAAGGTTCATAACCCTCTTGTTAGAGAGCTAGGATATGCAACTTTACAGACAGATACATTGAGGAACAGAGAAGTTAAGTGAGTAGCCCAAGGTACATGGTGAGTCAGGGCAGAATGGGAATAGAATCTAGAAATCCTGACTCCTGTCTTCTGAACTAACCATTAGCCACACTGCCTCTCAGAGTCAATAGTATTGTACTAAGCATTTTTTCTATTTGACTCTTCTGTGCATAATCAAATGTAGGGTGTTTGAGTAGGGAGCTCTCTGCAATATCTAAAATCTTTCTGAGCTCTTTCCTGTTTGCAGGTATTAGAGTTGTGACAAAAACCAAAAAACTCAAGAACAAAAAGGCATCTTAAGCTGGAATCCTGCTGGCATTTATTAGGTTTGCTTTTAGGTGTCTTTATTTTGTATTATCTTGTTTATTTGGATTTCTGCATGCATAAAAAGTGCATCTCCAAAAACTTGTCACAAGATGAAACTTGTAATTGAAAGGTAGCAGTATTTTTATGAGAGAATAATATGCTTTTCACTTCTGTAGTTCCTTTTAACTGAGGATCTCAAAATTCTTTATAAACTTTAATTAAACTTCACAACACCCTTGTGAAGGAGGTATTTTCCCACATTTTACAGAGGGAGGGAAATTGGCACACAGAGATGTTGAGGCTAAAATTTTCAGAGAGACTACTGATTTCAGTTGCTTCAATTTCTTCGTATCCAACACTCATGGTCTGATTTTCAGAGGTGCTCAACACCCAAATTTATGTAAATTGTGAGTCATCAACAGCTTAGAAAATCAGGCACTACATGTGTCAAGTTGGACATCCAAAAATCAGAGAGGACTTTTGAAAGCCTGGCTGTAACTTGCTCAGTGTCAGAGAGCAAGTCCAGTCAGAGGCAAGAATAGAACCCAGGTACTCTGGCTTTCATTCTCTGGCACTAGGCATAAGATGTGCTACTGCTCAAGTGGATTGCTGGTTATTGGGATGACAAGGAATGTACTGTAGTCTTAATTGATTAGTTAATACTTTTTTCTCTAGTTCTTTACAATAGTCATGATGTAGCATGCTTTGTGATGTTTCCCATTGTTAATGTATTTCTCATTTCTAGGTACCCAGGGTTTGTCTTGCCATGTCTGGGAGTTCATCCAGTTCAAGGTATTCCCCCAGAGGAACAATGCAGTGTTACTTTAAAGGTATAAATAAACTCTTAATTGCCACATATCCAGAGTGGACCAAGCAGCAGGCATTCAGAATTGACTCATTTGACATTTAAAATAAATCCAATCTATACTGTACATGTTGCCATAATACAGAAAACACTGTGGATCAAATCCTGAGGTCCTTACTCATCTTTGATTCTGTTAATACTCAAGCAAAATGCTACTGAAGTAATTTGGCTCTCTGTTTTACAGAGGGCTACAGTGGAGCGGATGATCTGCTTACAATCAACATAATGAACATGCACATTTAGCTGTCCCTCCACTTCCATGGGGAGTGGAAGACTAAAGAGAGATGTATACATCTGTGTCCATGCCCTGACCATATTTGGTGACTGTTTGCACTCAGACTAACAGCTGGCATGTACAGGATATTAATAGATCTTGTCTTGAAGAGTTAATTACATGTTCCATTCATCTAAAAAATAAACTTTAAGGCAGAATGGCCTTGCAGGATCTTTAAACCTGACAGACTGTCCCCCTTTCCCCCCAACCTACTGTAGGAGCACGTTTCAAGGTACACAGATGACAGATTAAGTGGTTCTGTATCACAATGGAACTGAATTCATCCTGCTCTTGCTTTGCAAGGATAGAGGGTTGTTTCTTTAATTTCTTTTTTCTTCTTCTCGCAGGACCTGGATGCTGCATTGCCACTTATAGAACTCTATAAAGATAGATTGTTGGCAATCGGAGAGGTAAGTAGAAGATCTGTGTTTTGTTTAAATCCTCTTTTTTTTTTTTTGCCAGCGTAGGTCCTCTGAGTTACAAGCACTTAGCACACGATCAGCTCTGTATAAACAAAAAGTAATACTAATAATCTGAGCAGCTGGAGAACCTGACCTGACATTCCAGCACTGAAAATATTTTCCTTCATATACTTCCCTGATGCATCTCCCCAGTCGTCTCCCTCCCCCTCTTCCCCCCAGCTGCTACTTACTTTGCAATGATAATTTTTCATCTGAACGAGATTTTTTTTTTGTCTACCTCTGAATCTGCTATTAATGCCCTTCAAATAAATAAATTGGCAACGGGAATTACCATTCACACAGCAGTAAGGGAATAGCCTGAAAAAATAGAAGAAAATACAGTAATAGCATTTTTTATCTTCCTTCTCCCCTGCCCCCAGTCTTTCCAGTTTCCCCACTTTTTCTCTCAAGTTTTTTCAATTGTACTTTTCATTTTTAGAGTTTCCTGACCCATCCTACTCCTTGCAGCTGCTCTTTCCTGCTAAGAATAACTCAATATTTTGATTTCAACCCAATGGGAAAGTGCCAATGGAACTTGACAGTACAGGTTGAATGAAAAGGAGGAGGTTTTAAAAGCTATTAGCTACTTTTTATTTTATATTTAGTTAATGGTGTGGACTTGGTATGAAGTATCTTAAATATACATACTATCTTTCACCTGCAGCCATGCCAACTTGTGCGGTGATCTTGAGAGCAAAGTGTGGTCAAGCTGGGTCAGTACTTGGATGGGAGATCTCCACTGACCATTTAGGGGCTGTGGAAAGCAGTGTCCGTGATTCAGTTGCTGATCTCTTACCTTTAACTCAGTACTGAACTGAGGTATGGTGCAGGGTCACTACTGCTGAAGGTGCTGTTTTTAGGATGAGATATAAAACCAAGTCCTGACGACTTTGGTTCATTAAAGATCCCAATGCACTTTTCATAAGATTACAGGTGTTCACCTCAGTGTCCTGGCCAAATTCCCACTGAGGTACTTGCAGTCTGCTTTCCTAATTTGCCTCAGCAGTTTTGTTTGGCTGGGATTCTCCTTTACTTCCTGTCCTAAACTGTGGTGTGGTTTTATATGCTGTTGTGGTTTGAGGCTTGCTTAATTAATGTTAGTAAAGCTGTTATTACTTCCTCTCAGTGGATTCCACAGCGCTTCAGAAATCATGTATGTATGAATGTATTGAATAAAACTAAAATGTCAATTTATTGACCCTCAAAACACAGTGTAATAGGTAAGGAATTCATAGTGTTCACTCGAATCGCCACTGAAATTCAGGGTGGAATGCAGCAGAGCAATATTAGAGTACAGGTAATGCTACATGACAGTTTATTACAGGACATGAAGGAGAATAGCTGTACAGTGGCTTGTATGACTGGTGATTGGTGTCTGAGCCCACTTCCTGCAGGACACATGGTCATATCTCAAAACCAACACAACAAATGACAATCTTGCCTGCAGTCTTAGCAGAGAGAATTAAATAAATATGAAGTATCCTCTTACACCTGGATGCCCTTTGGTTTACCCTCTGACACCGTGCAAGGTTGAGTCACACTGACATGTCAGTATAGGTAAATTTGCTATGCTGCACCTGTTCTGTAGATAAGGCAAGGACTTCGGTTGGTACAGCTGTGAACCTTTCTCAAACTTAAAAATCAACTGAAAATATTTAATTCCAATACTATACAGCTGGCTGACTTCATTAGAAATGGGCTTGAGCTACAGATTCAGATCTGAATCCGAACTTCCCTTGGAATTCAGAGGATTCTGGATATGGGGTTTTAGTTTGGAAATCATTGTTAAACAATGGTTATAGCTGCACAAAAGTCATCTATTGGTTAAAATGTTGAATAAAGTTCTTGGGTCTCTCAATTTATTTTCAACTCCTAAAGTGTTTGAATGTTGAATCTAAGCTGTAACAGACCATTTCCTATAGAGCTCATTTTAATGGCAATCCTTCCCAAATGTATACATTTAAAATTGACTGGCAGGATTGAAAAACTATTTCTTTACTGAACTGCAGACTAGTATGTAAAGGAATCAGGTTGGTGAAACTTTCTTATGTCTCCTCTTGTGCTGTAGGTTGGACTAGATTTCACTCCCAGATTTGCCAGCACTGATGAACAGAAGCAAGAACAAAGACGAGTCTTGATCAAACAGATTCAATTAGCGAAAAGACTGGATTTGCCTTTGTAGGTCTTGTTTATACTGACAGGTTATTGTGTTTCAGAAGAGATCTAAAATCAAATTCCTTCATATCTGTAGTTATTAAAGAGCCCAGAGCACTTAGAAAAGTAAGGATATTGCCTTCATTGTCTTGGCCAAATTACAACATGGTAGTTACATTGTGCCTACTTGGGTTAACCCCTGTAGTTTCAATTGCATCCTGTAGTCTTCTCTTCTTGTCCTAGACTGTTGCTACTGTATTTTCATGATGGCTGAAGTGATTTCTTTATACATGTTTGTAAAGTTCTTAGGGAATCTTTCTTGGTGAATGGTGCTATAAAAATTGCTGTCAAATCAGTTAATCTTATTTAAAAAAATACTCTGCTTAATTTCCTAATACTAGTTTTTCTTTTCTTCATTAGAAACGTCCATTCTCGTTCAGCTGGAAGACCAACCATTAACCTCCTAAAAGAACAAGGTACTTTTTTGGGTCACTTAATGCTATTAAAAATTCATTTTTTTTTTCAGCAGCCTTTCTTTGGTTTTACCATATCTCCTTATCATGCATGTCAGTTTGCTTACATAAAGCCGGATGGGCACAGTTATGGAGGTCCTTCTCAAAGTACTGTAATTTTGATTTATGGGATTTACTGTTTGATTGAGGAACTGTTCAGATTGCTTTAGCCACTAGCAGTTTGTCAGTTCAAATACACCTTCTGACAGACCCATATCCATGCTCAGCGTCTGTTCAGCATATCACACTCTCCAGGTTGGCATTGAAATTCTACTTTTTTTTATTTTTTAAAGGTGGACATTTTAAATACATTTCAAAGAGTGTTACAGGCAATTAACTGATATGATACTTTTATAGCTTAAGTCTTGGAGCTCATGAAGTGGAATCATGGCGTTATTAAAATAGATAAAAAAATTAAGGCTCTGGTATCTCTTATGTTTTGAACTAAGATCAAGTGTTGTATCAATTTAATATCAAATACTCACACTCCTGGGGGATGGGGTATCCTGCACTGGTAGGGGAATGGACTCGGTGATTTAATCGGTCGTCTTTTTCATCTCTTCATTATTGCCCAATTTGCCTTACTTAGTGGGGGGGAAACCTGTAAAAAGAAGAAAGGAAGGAAAGTGAATATAATTTCTGTCTGTCTCTATTATGTTAGAATGATGATGTCAGCTCCTGACAGAAACTCCTTGGTCCGACTGTACTTTCCTCAGACTGTAATGCTTTCAAGAGAAGGAGATTAGGATTGTTCCCATGGTGCTATCTACCTCCTTCCCTCCCCAAACTGTCTCTGCTTGCAATCCCAATCATATCTCCCAACATGGCTCCTCTCGTAACAGGCTTTTCTTCTCCACGTCCCGCCCCTCCACCTGATCTGTTCTATAAGCTATCTGTCTGACACCGTAAGCACCAACTGTGCTGGCATCACAGGAGCAGTTCTGACTCTGCTCCTCTCCAGAGCACTGTAATCCTAGAGTACAGCGAGACCAAGGGTTCTAGTACTAGGAGGTGACATCATAGTCCTACCACGAATATAGTTACTTCCTAATTGGTTTGGCTCTCTGTAGGTGCTGAAAGGGTATTGCTTCATGCATTTGATGGGAGGCCATCTGTGGCGATGGAAGGAGTGAAGGCTGGATATTTCTTCTCCATTCCTCCTTCCATTGTAAGAAGTGAACAGGTAAAGTTCAAAGGGACTAGTCCTATCTCAGTATTTGGGGATTGCAGCCTGTAACCCTCAGTTTATCACAAAGAAAATATTACTTTCTGTTAGGCTGATTTTTTTTTTTTTAACCCTATAATATGTAAACTTCTGGTGACCTTTTCTTTGGAAAGCTCTAGTGCTCCCTTGCTTTGGAGTAGGGACGCAGAATTTGGCAGGGGGAGACTTGTGTGTCAGGAATGAGCCTTATGCTGTTCCTGTGAAAATCCACTCTAATTTGGCCAAGTTATATGTCCACGAAAAACTGCAGTTTGCACATGCTCAGCAGAGACTTTAAATTTTAGCAGCTATATTCTTCAAAGATCCCATCCACACTGGGCACACTACAGCCACAGGCCAAGCAGGACTTTCCCTGCATTGCTGCAGGCTGTGCTGGGTTTAGGCACCTGAAATGAGAGCAGGGAGCTTGCCTGTCCTGTGCTCTAGTAACTCCCTGCTGGGCCCAGGCAGTTGGAGGAGGAAGCAGCTGCCTGATTTGAATGCAGAAGGGACAAGAGCCAGACTACGATGATGGAATAGATTGGGACAAGAACCCTGGGGATGGGAGGTGGGACAAGATTGGAGGAGAAAAAATAGTATGCATGTAATTAAATATTGTATCATAAGACATATGCACAAAGAGGATGAATTAGGGTTGCACCGGCAACTTTGATTCTGGTATATCTGAGCTTTTGAGTGCTTTACTTTGCAACCCTAATGTAGTTTGTTTGTTTTTCATGTGCAATAATATTATTTGATTTAATAGATAATAATGGGCTGAGTGCTTCACTAGGGGTGGCATTGTGTATATTATGGAGACTTTATTAAAAAGTAGTTCATGTATTCTTGACCATTTTTTACTACTTCCTAATTGTGCAATTAGCAAAAATATATTTACAAGATCCCCACGTGTATTACTGCCATGCCTTTAACATGAAACATACCTCTCTCTCTCTGCTTTTTTTCCCTAGTTTGAGTGAATGAGCCATTTAATAGCTTTCTTGTTTCCTTTAAGAAGCAGAAACTTGTGAAACAGTTGCCCTTAGAATGTATGTGCTTAGAAACCGACTCTCCTGCACTAGGTCCTGAAAAACAGGTAAATTGTTGGTTTCTCCACTTCTGCATTTCTAAAAATGTAGCTTACTGAGGACAGTAACAGAGGGCAAAAATTGAATAGGCAGAGACAAGGAAGGAAAGACATTGTCAGAAGAAATTGGAAAAGAGATAGCAGGTTGATAAGGCAGAGTGATACAAGGAGCCAGTTCCCAAAGGCAGGGACTACACAGGAGAAGACTCTTGCCAATTGCAGGAATAGATTGAGAGGAGACTGGTGGAGGATGAGCAAATATAACAGAAATTACATTTAAGGCCCTATCAGTGGTATATTTGAAACCATTTGCAACAACTGGTTCTGAAGATAAATTGAATCTGACACTAATGTAATTTCAGATTCTTTAATTTATTCTCTGTTTTTGTACATTGCAGGTGAGAAATGAACCAAAGAATATTTTCATTGCTGCAGAGTATATTGCCAAAATGAAAGGAATCCCAGTGGAAGAAGTTATAGAAGTGACGACGCAGAATGCACTGAAACTGTTTCCCAAACTTCAGAAATTTCTCTGGAAATAGACCCAGACATGTTTAAAATTTGCAATTACATTCTGTCCCAACAGCTAACATGTGCAATAAAAAAAATCCGTCTTGTCCTAACTGCAGGATTTTACTATCAAATAATTCAGCAAATATACATCCTTCCGGTATCTGGTCCAGATATAGATTCATATTAGTCGCCTAAATAAATATGGAAGAAGGGTCTCTCTCATATTGGTGAATTAATATTATAGCTGCCTGACTTAACTAAACACTATGTAAAATCATGGCCCTATTGAAGTCAAGGGCCAAACTCCCATAAACTTCAACAGGCCCAGGATGTTGTCCCAATAGTCAGAGAAATTATCTTCATAGTACCCTAATCGTTACTCCGAAGGCCCAGCCGAGTAAGGGGGCAGAATGTGGGGTCTCTGTGGAGTTACTGTGTTAAAACAGGACAGCGAGGGAGAATCTGTTCTCCTATCCCAGTCTATGGTCACTATAAACTTCTACACCAGAGCTGGACCTGACCTGAACCAAAACCCTGTATCTGAATGCTCCAAACTCTGGCAAGTTCAAATCTGCATCCCAGTGTTATGGTCTGGGCCCATGTCTTCCATGTATCAAATGTTTGTACTGTTTTAAAACCTAAGACTTGTCTACAGGGTGTGTCCGTTTGAAATGGACATTAACACACAGTAGGGGACTTTTTTAGCGTATGCCAGGAGGGTCCACGTGGGCCAGTTAATGTGTGACATACTCGTGTGTGCATTAGAATTTACACCCCTCTAATGTGGACTAATGCACGCTGTAGACAAGTCAAATCTTGTCTCCCTTAATATATACAGTTTTTTTTAACTGCCTTGTTTTTATTATTCTGGAAGATCTCTTACAAAACACGGTTCTGAACTCCTGTTTGACATCCTTGGCTTTTTGTGAACCACCGATGGATGTCAGATTGACAAATTGTAGTCATGGTGCCAACGGAGTAGAGACAGCCTGTTGCCTTTGAAGTCTGTAGGAGTTTTGCTGTTTGTTGTTCAGTGAGAGAAGGATTGAGCCCTAAGTAAGATAAAATGTAAGCAGCCTATTTCCAGGTCATGTGGAAGGTAACTGCTGTCCACCTTAAGTGCTTGTTTTCCCTCACATTTTCATCCCTATGATTACTGCATCACCACTGGGGGAGGTTAGCTTTACTTGTTCCTCAGATAGTGGCAGTGTTAAGGTAAGTTGCACCTAATTAGCTTATCAAGTTAAGAAAATGTCTGTCTTTTCTGTCTTCAGAAAACACCTGAATTTGAATCATTCATATATATATATTGCAATGTGTATTATGGTTTTAAAAGACAGGAAATAGAAGGAAGAACTGCAAATAGGTAAACATTTGGGTCTAAGTGGGAACCCTGATTAAGGATAATTAATGACATAGAGCCACCTGCATGCACAGCTTCCACTGTATCATTATCAGGATTTTCTGGGCATGGATCAAGGGTAGTGTATAGCTCAAGATACATCTAGGGAACTTTGAAATGGATGCACGCTACCCATTGCTGATCAGTCAGATTCGTTACACTTACAATGACGGGCAATATAGAAGAACTGGGAATGGGACATTGACAATAAACTAAAAATACACCGACAAGTCTTATCAGTGTCTAAGCAGAGAGCAACACAGAAAAACATATTCGTTAAGGAATGGCAAATTACATTTTAAAATTCATCCAGGGTTGATTAGCTCGTGTTATTTTTAGTAATATAAAAAGGATTTTTAATTTTTTTTATAACATTTTGAAGTAATTGCAGACTATACATGGTAGGCTATGTCTACACACACAAGTTGTAACGATACAGTAAAATTAAAGTGATATAACTCCCCCTCAGTGTGCATGCAGCTATACCAGTACAAAAGTGCCTAATGTGTGTGGAAAGGGGAATAAGCCATACCGGTAAAATGCACCTTGTATAACTGCAGTCACAATAAGGATTGCACCAATTAAACTATTCTAGTTAAAAAGAAAATTTACTCCAAGGGCCTTGGTATAAAAATTGTGTACAGGAGGCCTTATTCTAACAAAAAAGATTTTATTAAAAAAACAAGAAAAAAGGTAAAGTTAAATATAAACAAAGAATAAAACACTCAACACAATTAATGCTGTCTCTTTAGACCGGGGTAGGCAACCTATGGCACGCGTGCCGAAGGCGGCACGTGAGCTGATTTTCAGTGGCACTCACACTGCCTGGGTCCTAGCCACCGGTCCGGGGGGCTCTGCATTTTAATTTAATTTTAAATGAAGCTTCTTAAACATTTTAAAAACCTTATTTACTTTACATACAACAATAGTTTAGTTATATATTATAGACTTCGAGAAAGAGACCTTCTAAAAATGATAAAGTGTATTATGGCACGCGAAACCTTAAATTAGAGTGAATAAATGAAGACTCGGCACATCTCTTCTGAAAGGTTGCTGACCCCTGCTGTAGACGATACTGAAAGCATAGCATGACATCAAATTACACAAGCTGCAGAGTTCTATTGGCCCGTGGTGCCTGGGCAACAGGAACGTTCCTGGCCCGGGGCAGGCTCCAGCACTGTTTGAGGCCAGGTCTCTCCCTCGGCCCTGCCTTCTGCCCCCAGGCGCTCCCTCCTGTGCGTCCCCCCAGGCGATTTAAAACAGCCCCGCGGCCCCCACCCACCACTAGCAGTGCAGCGGAGCTGAGCAGTTTCTGCCTGCTCGTTCCACGTGGCTGCCGGCCCCTCTCTGTAGCCCCTGGGTTGGGTGGGTCTGTGTCTACGCACGCTGCTCCTGCCCCAAGTGCCCCTGCGGCCAGTAGGAAGCTGCGGGGGCAGTGCCTGGGGGTAGCAGCACGCGGAGGCCCCCCGGCCCGCCCTGCTTAGGAGCCCCAGGTAAGTGACACACTCTTCCACCCCCTCCCAGAGCGTACACCTCCCACCCCTTTCCCACACACCTCCTCCCTCCCACCCCCAACTCCCTCCCAGAGTCTGCATCCTTCAACCCTTCCTCCTGTACATGCACCCCCAGCCCAGAGCCTGCCCCCCTCATCCCCTCCTGCCCCCCACCTCCTGCCCCAGCCCGGAGCCTGCACCCAGCACCCAAACTCCCTCCCAGAGCCTGCACCCCCTCCCTCCACACCTCCTCCCATCTCCAAACTCCCTCCCAGAGCCTGCACCCAAACTCCCTCCTCCTGCACTCCCACCCTCTGCCCCAGCCCAGAGCCTGCACCCAGCACCCAAACTCCCTCCCAGAGCCTGCACCCCTCAACTCCTCCTCCTGCACTCCCACCCTCTGCCCAGCGGAGCCTGCATCCAGCACCCAAACTCACACCCAGAGCCCAACCTCTCACCCCTTCTGCACCCAGCCTCTCTCCCAGAGCCTACACCCCTTCTGTACCCCAATTGCCTGCACCCCAGACCTCCTCCTCCCACCCAAAGTCCCTCCCAGAGCCTTAGGCAGGTGGGGGCGGGTTCTGGGCACCACCAAAACTTCTACAAACCTGCTGCCTCTGCAGTCTGGGCCCTGATCCTGCAAAGACTTCAGTATGTCCGTAAATATTCACCAGTGGTCTCACTAATGTCAACGGGCCTCCTCCCATGAGCATAGGTATGCACAGGCTTAAGGGTTTGCAGGACTAAGGCTGTAATTATTAGATCCTATAAAACGCAGAATAAATTGCTCATTCTACAACTGTGGGTATAAAAGAAATGTGTAGTCTACTCAAAATCTTCAGCTTCCATCGTTTGACTGAGAAGATTGCAACAAGATTCGCTGCTTCTGGACCATTCCTAGCCTCGTCGAAACTGATTGTTGTAAGAAACGTGATTTCTAAACTGCCACTGTCCCTTTAAACACATTTTGCTGAGGCTTCAGTAAATGATAATCGTTTGGAAAGTGACTGCGGGGGGAGACACAACAGGGCTCACTCTCCCCTCCGACTCAGACGTCCCGTTTGTAAATACTCCTGTAGTGCAGAGCTGGGGCTGGAATGTCCTGCCTTGATGCTGGAAAACTGCACGCACGTGTGTGTAGAGGAAGATCTCGCCAGATTCGAACTCCCTGTGCACAATCGCGAGGCGGTGTGTACCCGGGCTAGGCTGGGCTGCTTGTCATCGTGGAAGTGGGAGGGGTTGTATTCGCTGCCCTGGGAAGAGCCGTATCCTCTTTCTGCTGTCTGTCAGAGTCGTAAGAGGAGGAGCCCAGGCCTTGCATGCTCAGGGTGCCTTCAGCAGCTTTTGCACATGGAGAAGGGCTGGTTCATCGATTGCCACTGCCACCTCACAGCCGAGGAGTTCAGGCAGGTAGGACTGAAGACTGCAGTCAGCAGATGCACTCTGTACACAGGCCCTATGCTGGGGCTGCTGTTATTGGATTTGCAGCCCTGGGTATACGAAGTATTATTGTAACAACAGCTGTTTCCAGGCTAGTGACTGAATTCCCTCTACCTGCTTGTAGTCACTGAGCCTGGAGTATGCTCGGACTGTAGAAGCTTCTGATTCCATTAGAGTCAGTGGCAGAACCCCCATTTATAGCACAGAGGTGGTGGAGACACTTCAGGGAGCTTTTTGGTGGATTAGGAGCAGGGTTCCTTGTGCTCTGCTCTGCAATTTACAAACTTGTTTGTGAGACAAGGTGGGTGAGGTAATAGCTTTTATTGGACCAACTTCCCTTGGTGAGCAAGACAAGCTTTCAAGCTACACAGAGCTCTTCCTCAGGTCTTGCTTGTGTCATGACCAGGGCCAGCTCTAGTTTTTTTGCCGCCCCAAGCAAAAAAAATTTTTGGCTGCCCCCCCACCCCAGCCCTGGGCTCCCCCCCTGCATCCCTGGGCTCTCCCCACCCGCACCCCCTGCCGCCCCAGCCCTGGGCTCTCCCCCCACAACTGCACCCTCCTGCCGTCCCAGCCCTGGGTCACTGGTAACTCGCTCCCAGGGCGGGTCATTCAGCAGGAATTTTGGATGTGTACAGAACACAGACAGGATTGGTTCCCATATCGTTACAGAACTGCAGTAAAGTGGAACAATTTTCAGCTTTTGTGACTGAAGGCTATCTGGATGTATATTATAAGACTGTCCTACATAAATGAGGAAAAATTGAGGTGC